AGTCATCAGAAGATTCAATGCATACAATGGCGGAAGAGATCAATGATTTGAGACAACAATTGTGTTCAGAAAAGAGGTTTAATATAATTATTTAGATATTTTTAAAATTTTAAACCCCTTTTTAACAAAAATTATATTTTGTCAGTAATCAAGAAGTGGTCACAGATTTGAGTGAATTGTCGACAAAAAACAGTGCTTTAAGTGAAGAGATGTCGGCTTTGAAAGCGAGGAATGAGTCCGAAGTGAAGACATTAAAAGCAGAGCTGAAGACAGCCATGGATTCAATGGAGACAATGATTACCGAAAATAATAATTTGAAACAAACGGTGTATTCGTTGTCACAAATGATTTCTTATAACATGAGGTTTAATATAAAAACATTATTTGTATATAAGTTTTGTTTGCATTTAAACTAATGTTTTGATATAATTTTATACTTATTTTCAGTAATCAAAATATGGCCACAGATTTAAAGCACAAATTGAGTGAAATGTCGACAAAAAACACTGAATTAAGTGAAGAGTTGTCGGCATTGAAGACATCGAAACATATCATTGAATCCGATGTCAAACAATTGGCTCAAGAAATCAATGCTTTAAATATAAGGTTTGATTATAATTAATATTTTAAATTTTTTTATAAAAATATATAAAAACAGGCATTCAGTGAGTGATTCGTCGTCCAGTTGTTCATCGATCGGATCCCACAATCAATTGACCACTAATTCAGACAAAACCAGAGATGAGATCAATGGTTGCCAATCAGTGTTGAAGAAACTTCTGACGTCTCCACGTCTTAGCCATAGCAGGGAATCACTGCCAGAGCTATTCAAATAGGTTTACTATAGAAGTATGTATTAATAATACAGTATTATATGGAGAACTCCAGCCTATTATTGGTTACATTATTAATAATTATTAAAAATTATTGTTATTTAATTGTTTTACTTATTTTTCATTCAGACTTGCAGTAAATTCAATGATTTTTACATTATTGATAATGAATCTTTTGGTAACGAATGTAACTCAATAATGATTAATACAAATTATTATGTCTTATTAGCACAGGTTTATTATTAATATTGTAATAATTATTAATTTAAATTGAAATTATATTAATTACACAATAAATATTTTGAATTAAATATTTTTATCAAATCCATTGATATATTTAGCTGTGCTTTAAATTCCGGTAATAATTTTAAAAAAATTGTTAACATTTTACATAAACTTTTAATTATAGTTTAAAATTAATTATAACTCTCATATAATAGGCATTTATTTTATCTATAATTATTTCATCAAAAGCAAGGAAATAGGGTAATTAATGGTCACAATATTATATTTATAGCTAACATCTTTATGCTAAAAGTAGATAAGATATAAAAATATAATATTATAAATAATTAATAAATAAATTCAAAAATTATACTTTAGTAAATTAATCAGTAAAATATGTTTATATAAAATTGTGTTTATATTACGAATTAAAATCAATAAATTTGTTACAAATGCCAATAAACCGGAAATACGATAATGATAATGTTTTTAAATTATTTGATATATAAGTCAGAATAAATTCATTTAATTTTTAGTTACATATTTTGTTTTTGACCAAAAATGAAAAAAAAACAAAAATATATTTTAATATTCAATTTATAAATGTGTTTAAAAGCAATGAGTGTTTCGTTGATTGAAATGAAGAGTAAATTCAATGCAATGAAGAGTTTGTGTAAAATAATAGACAAAATATTTATTGTGTAATTAATATAATTTCAATTTAAATTAATAATTATTACAATATTAATAATAAACCTGTGCTAATAAGACATAATAATTTGT